ATTGTTAGAAAAGATTTCTATTTTAAATAAATGCTCTTCTTTTTAACTTTTTATTCATCAAAGAATCCTGAAATAAAAGTATCACAGTTTCCAAAAAAATATTAAGCAGCACAACAGTTTCCAGCACTGATAATAAATCAGCATATTAGAATGATTTCTGAAGGATCATGAGACACTTTATACTGGAGTAATGATGCTGCTTTGCATCACAGGAATAAATTAGATTTTAATGTATATTGAAATAGAAAAACGTTATTTTACATCAAATTTTTTCCTGTATTTTTTATCAAATAAATGCAGCCTTGATGAGCATAAGAAACAACTGTAAAAAAACATAAAAAATCGTTCTGATCCCAAACCTTTGACCGGTAGTGTATATAAAAACTGGTTTCAACATTGATAATAATTAGAAACATTTCTTATGTTTCTTGAGCACCTAATCAGCATATTATAATGTTTTTTTTTGGAAAGATCACATGACACTGATGACTGGAGTAATGTCTGCTAAAAATTCAGCTTTGCCGTCACAAGAATATATTACATTTGAAAAATTAAAAAGAAAACAGTTATAGTTGTAATATTTCACTGTAATTTTTTTATCAAATAAATGCAACCTTGGTGAACATATGAGACTTTTTCAAAAGCATTTTAAAAATCCTATTACTTTTAACAGACTTTTTAATTCTTATATACTCTATACTTTTTTATTAGACTTTCTTCTTACAGGTTGTTTGCTACAATGGCTGGCAGATAAAGCAAAATGATCAGCCATGTTTCAAATTACTTGATTTAACGTAGAGCACATTATGATATTATAACTTACCGTAATAAATATGCCTTAATACAGAGAGTGTGACGTGATAACCGACTCAGATGAAGACGACACCATCTACCGTGTTGTCACCCCCTCTGTGACTAAAAGAGGCAAAGTCCAGGACTTCATCCTCCTGGCCTCCAGGAGGCGCCCTTGTGATTCTGGGTAAACCTTAAACTCCTACAGAATCTCTATATTGTGTCTTTCCAAAGGGCAAAATAACACGTTATTACATCTTTGTCACTTTTAGAGACCCTTATTTGATTGCCTTGCGTTCTGTGACCCTGCCTGCGTACCCTCCCACTGAAGACTACAACAGAGGAGAGGTGCTCTGTGCTGGGTTCAGTATCTGGGAAGAGGAAAACACTTTCACTAAGGTAATAAATACACAGAAAGCCTAATGGACACTTATACTGAATGAGCAAATGAGTCAAAGTTCAAGAATTAACACGGCTTTAAACGTAGCAATCTCTTTAACTTAAATAATGTGCATGTACATTAGCCAATAACACCGTTTATAACTCATGTTTAGAAACTGCTTAGAGTGGTTCCTGGTGCTGTCATGTAGGTGTTAAAGTACTGAAGGTTAAGTGCGTTGGCTTACATGCTTATGTATGCATTTCTCTCAGATTTCTTACTACAACCAGGCCACTCCTGGCGTGCTGCCCTATATCTCCACTGACATCGCTGGGCTTTCCTCCAGTTTCTACTGCACCTTTGCCTCATGTAGCGCTTTCCTGGAGGAGAATAAAGAGAGTCTGGCTTCCCTGCCCACCTCCACCCTATGAGAAAGCTGAATTCAACATTCTATGTTCTTCAGAAATTGATTTCGTTTCTAAAAAAAAAAAGATTAGGGTCAAGATATATAGGGTTGACAGATATTCACATTTGAGTTTAGTATAAAAGATCATGAACTTTAGGTACGTAAAACTCTTATTTTCCATACACTCTCAGAAAATAAAGGCACAAAACTGTCACTGGTACCCGAAGATACAAAAGCTAAAAGGTACATCTTTGTACCAAATTTACCTCTAAATGGTACATATTAGTACCTTAAACGTACATATTAGTACTTCAAAAGTACATATTAGTACATAAAGTGTACATATTAGTACATTTTGAAGGTTTATTGCTCCAGTGACAGTTTTATACCTTTTTGAATTTAGAAAAAGGCATTAGCATCAGTTATCAGGGGAGTCTTTTTTTGTTGTTGTATGTAATACAAAAAAATATGTAATATATAAATATATAGAGAATTGTTTTGTTATGTAGCCTTGATGAATATTAATATTATAATTTAAAAAAAAGATAATTATTCTCTTTTTTTAGATATTTCACCTTTTAGACTTTAAGCTAGAATTTAGGGTCATGTGCAATAATGTAAAATTCTCTACAGATGCCACTTCCAGAAGTCTAAGCTAGCGTACTGCACTGTTGTCGTTCTCAATGACTCAAAGTACTCAAAATAAAATGAATAAACTTCAAACAGGTGGCAAGGTCGATATGTGGTACTTCCTGGGACATACGCAATCACGTTTGCATAGATTTTCAGTCTAGTTAGTGACGGATGTTAGAGTCTAGCTTTTCATGTCAGGCCAGAACAATGCATTGAATTTCACACTGCTGATACGCTGAACAGGACTTTTTTTTAATAAATACTTAAATACACAGAAAGCCTAATGGACACTTATACTGAATGAGCAAATGAGTCAAAGTTCAAGAATTAACACGGCTTTAAACGTAGCAATCTCTTTAACTTAAATAATGTGCATGTACATTAGCCAATAACACCGTTTATAACTCATGTTTAGAAACTGCTTAGAGTGGTTCCTGGTGCTGTCATGTAGGTGTTAAAGTACTGAAGGTTAAGTGCGTTGGCTTACATGCTTATGTATGCATTTCTCTCAGATTTCTTACTACAACCAGGCCACTCCTGGCGTGCTGCCCTATATCTCCACTGACATCGCTGGGCTTTCCTCCAGTTTCTACTGCACCTTTGCCTCATGTAGCGCTTTCCTGGAGGAGAATAAAGAGAGTCTGGCTTCCCTGCCCACCTCCACCCTATGAGAAAGCTGAATTCAACATTCCATGTTCTTCAGAAATTGATTTCGTTTCTAAAAAAAAAAAGATTAGGGTCAAGATATATAGGGTTGACAGATATTCACATTTGAGTTTAGTATAAAAGATCATGAACTTTAGGTACGTAAAACTCTTATTTTCCATACACTCTCAGAAAATAAAGGCACAAAACTGTCACTGGTACCCGAAGATACAAAAGCTAAAAGGTACATCTTTGTACCAAATTTACCTCTAAATGGTACATATTAGTACCTTAAACGTACATATTAGTACTTCAAAAGTACATATTAGTACATAAAGTGTACATATTAGTACATTTTGAAGGTTTATTGCTCCAGTGACAGTTTTATACCTTTTTGAATTTAGAAAAAGGCATTAGCATCAGTTATCAGGGGAGTCTTTTTTTGTTGTTGTATGTAATACAAAAAAATATGTAATATATAAATATATAGAGAATTGTTTTGTTATGTAGCCTTGATGAATATTAATATTATAATTTAAAAAAAAGATAATTATTCTCTTTTTTTAGATATTTCACCTTTTAGACTTTAAGCTAGAATTTAGGGTCATGTGCAATAATGTAAAATTCTCTACAGATGCCACTTCCAGAAGTCTAAGCTAGCGTACTGCACTGTTGTCGTTCTCAATGACTCAAAGTACTCAAAATAAAATGAATAAACTTCAAACAGGTGGCAAGGTCGATATGTGGTACTTCCTGGGACATACGCAATCACGTTTGCATAGATTTTCAGTCTAGTTAGTGACGGATGTTAGAGTCTAGCTTTTCATGTCAGGCCAGAACAATGCATTGAATTTCACACTGCTGATACGCTGAACAGGACTTTTTTTTAATAAATACT